CTCTCTCCTCCAGAGCCATCGGGATCCAGGGGTGAGATATGGATCAGGAAAAAGGAAAAACTCAGGACTTTCCCACTCCGCCAAATCTCTGGGTTCCCCTGAGGCTATAATCCCATCAACTAGCCTTTCTTTGTGGCTACACCCAATCTCCCAATTCTCTGTTACCCTCTGTTACCTAGCCTAGCCCTCTATTGTTTCACCTCCCCAAGTCCCCAGCCACTTCCCACCCTTAATCCTATCCAGGCTCCATTCTACCTTGGCCACCCCTGGAGTTCTATTACCTCATAGACTACTTGGCCACTCCTAGATCTCTCCTATAGTTTTTCTGTATATAAGGTCCATCTTGTCTCCATTAAGATGCTCAGATTCTTAAAATCTAGCCAATAGCTCACTAACATTCAGACTCCTTAACAGTCTGCCCAATATGATGAATGTTCTAATAAACCTTGTCTTTGGCTGAAAAAAAAAAGAGATATAGATCAAGACAACTAGAGATGGCCCTGGATGCAGTGGGACACCTTGGCCTAAGGTCTTTCCCAGATCTCAGTTTGTCTGAGGCAACATCCAATCAGTGATTAAGTTTAGGTAAAGTTACCTAGTCAAAAAAAAAGAAAAAGAAAAAGAAAGAAAAGAAAATCAATTTGGGAGAAGGCCCTCAGGGTTTCTGTCCACAACAGAAACAATAGCTATTTACACTGCCTCTGAGCCATCAAAATCCAAACAATGACCAAGTGAGGCTTGGGCTGGGACCTACTGTTGGCCAATCAAGGACAGCCAGAGTGATTTGGGTTTAAGGCATGGTTCATAAAAAAGAAATTTAGCTTGTAAACTTTTAGATATCTTGCTGAGTTTCAGTGATCAAAATTTATATTCCTTTGGGCAGAGCATCCACAGGTAAGGGTATGATACCCTATATGGACAGAGGGAGAGGAAGGAGGAAGGAAAGGAAAAGAAAGAAGGAAGGAGGGAGGGAGGGAGGAATTGCATGGCTCAACTGGAGCTAGCCAGTTGGGTCCCCAGTGGGGCAGTATTACTCTTCACAGGTTATTGTTTGTCCTTCTTTCTCAAAGAGGACCATGACATCAGGAAGGAGATGTCGTGACTTGCAAATGAATCAGATTTAAGTAAGTTGTGCAAAGTCACCACCCTCACTCTCTCCTCCTGAGCCATGTGGGTCTATAGATCAGGATGACTGGAGATGGCCCCCTGGAGAAGGGCAATAAAAGTATCAAAGGCACATAGGACTGAAAAAATAAGATAGTCTGGTCATGTCATAAGAGTGACAGATAACCAATAAGCCTACATGCTTCATTGGTATTGATGAAATTTCAAGATATGAAATGTATTGTAACTTGCATTTACGTAGCACTTTAAAGTTTGCAAAGTACTTTAGAGATATTAGATCATTTTATCCTCAAAACAAGCCTGGGAGGTAGGTGCTATTATTGTTGTTCTCATTTCATAGATAAGGAAACTGAGGCAGAAAGAAGTTAAGTGACTTGCCCAGGGTCACACAAAGTGAGTGTCTGAAGCAGGGTTCTAATGACTGAAGATCTAGAGCTCTATCTACTGTGCCACCCTAGCTGCCTCTGGGTGGGGTGGATACCCTGTGGTAGATTTACAAGAGGACAGAGTCACCCAGGATAGGCAGTATGGGTACTCTGTCTACAGACAGAGATTGCAACTCCAATCCTCCTTCATTGGATAGTCTTTATGGGGATTCTGTGGCTGAAAACCTTCATCCTCTGATGGCCAACACTCTGGTGATAAGCACACTGAACTCAGACAGGCTAGCCCTCTAACTACTGACACAGTCTATTGCTGGCCCAAACTTGAAGCCTTTCCAACTTGGTAGCATTGTCGGAGTATGAGCTGCACTAGCATAGTCTTTGAAGACCCTGAGTTAGATACAATCCAAGATAAATAAGCAGATGGTTGGAGAACAGTTAACTTCCTTCCATGAGTTCAGATCACCAGGCCTGAATACCAGTAAGGTATCTGACAACTTATTCTAGTATCTTAATAGATAAGATGGGCAGATACGGGCTAGATGATAGCATGGTTAGATGAATTCAGAAACAGTTGAATGACTGAATGCAAGGTTTAATTATTAATGGATCAATGTCCCCTTAGAGATCTTCAGTGAAATTTTTCAGGGGCATGTCTTTGATGCTAATGATGTTTGATATATTTATCAATGAGTTGGATAAAGACTTTGATGGCCTTCTTATAAAATCTACAGATGACACAAAACTGAAGGGATAATTAATGAAGTAAAGGACTAATACAGGCTACAAAAAGCTGATAGAAAAAGTTCCTGATGGGGCCAGCTAGGGGGTAAAGTGGATAGAGCATAGGCCCTAGAATCAGCAGGACCTGAGTTCAAATCTGGCCTCAGACACATAACACTCACTAGCTTCGTGACTCTGGGCAAGTCACTTAACCCCAATTGCCACAGACACACACACACACACACACACACACAAATCTTGATGGGCTAAAATGCTCGGTTGAAATTTAAGACAATTAAAACCAATGGGGTTTAAATCCTGTCCATACATGAGTTAAAAATACCAGCTGCACAAATATGGGTTAAAGGAGTTAAGTAAGGCTGGACAATTTTTTTGGTGACAAGGATCTGGGGGTTTTAGTGGATTCTGAGTTCAATATGTGTGAAATGACAGCCCAAAAACCTCATAGCAAACCAGAAACAAAAACCAGTGTGTGATGTTAGGCTGAAAACAGTGAAATTAAACAGGTAACAGTTATGCTGTACTCAGCCTTCCTCAGCTCTCATCTGGAGTACTCTGGCTAGTCCTCAAAATCACGTTTGAAAGACACTAATAAATCGGAGTCCAGAGCAACAGGACAAGAATGATGAGTCAACTAGACATCATGCCATAAAGATGGTATGATTTATTATCACCAGGATCAAATTTAAAATCTTCCATTTTGGCTTTTTAAGCCCTTCACAACTTAGCCCCTTCCTACTTTTCTAGTCCTCATATATTTTTCTTCCCTTACCTTGCTACGTGATCCACCAATCCAGCCATACTGGCCTTTTGCTCTTTCATACAACAGTCCATCTTGAGACTCCATGCTTTTCACTGGCTCTCCCCCCCATTCCTGGAATGCTCTCCCTCCTGGCCTCTTTCCAGACTCATCTACCCTATGGTCAGTGCCTCCTCTCTGAGATCATCTCCAATTTATTCTGTCTACATCTTGTTTGTTCATCGCTGTTTGCCTTTTCTATCACCTAATCCCCCATTACAGTTGTGAGCTTCATGAGGGAAGGGACTATTTTTGCTTTTCTTTTTTCTTACCTTTTAGCACCCTACCTGGCCCGTTGATGCTAAACAAATGAATGGTTTGTGGACTAGGTTTAAATATACTGGGGATGCTTAAGCTAAAAAAGAGAGGGGGTCGAGGGGGAGGCACTGGATGTTTTCAATTATTTTAAGGCTGTCACATGAAAGAGGGATTATTTGTCTCAGAACTAAGACCAATGGATGGAAAACTACTTAACACTTCCAACAACGTGGAATGGGAATTTTCATAGAGCTATCAATCAGTCAACAGTGATAAAGCACCTACTATGTGTCAGCCACTTTTTTAAGCGCTGGAAGCAGTGCGTTTCCCGTTAAAGAGGATCTTCATAACTCATTGAGGGGATTTATGTTCAGATACTGATCGAACCGTTTGACCTTCAGAGATTCCTTCAACTAGGAGATCCTGTAACTTTGTTTTCGAGGCGCTGAGAGACAAGACGTGAGAAGAGAGGGGCAACACCCTGGAACTATATTTCTGCCTAACACACTTGGAGACTTTCTCTTTGCTGGGTTTTTGCAGGATGGGTCTCCTGAAGCCAGCCAGCAGTTCGCTATACCTCGAGCAAAGGACAGTCGGCGCCGTCCGGTCACCCCCGGCCAGTACCAGTTTCATGCATCACAAGCTCCCAGGGCTCGGAAGCCACCGAGGAGTCGCAACCGAGACGCCGTCTCCCCGGGCTGGAAACCGGCGCTGGAGGGCGTAGGGCTGGGCGAGAAAAGCTGGGCTGCGGTTGGCCACCGGAGCCATCCATCTTCGCCGGCAAGCCCTGTGTGTCCTCGCGTATTGGAGGGGAGGGGTGGGGAATGGGAGGCAACGCCAGCCTCCTTCGCCTCCCTTCTCCTCACTCAGCTCCGTCGTCCGCCCCGCCCGCCTGTCTGCTGCTCCACTGCCTACCTGGGAGGACGCTGCTGTGCCGCGCATAGAAGGCTGGCGGCCGCGTCCGCGCGCGCACTCATCCCGGGCCGCCCGGAGGGGAGGCGCAGCTGCAGGGCGTGTATCTCTTGCAGGCTCTCGCTCGTTCTGTGGTGCGCGCGCGCGCGCGAAGGCAAGCAACTTTGCTGCAACCCGAGGCGGGGCTCCCCCTGCTGTGTGTGCGTGTACATGTGTCACCCGCGGCCTCGCTGGGGCACTGGGGAAAAAGGGAACGAGGACAATAAGGCGGCGGCATAGTAGACGGGAGAAGCAGAGGACTAGGCTCTGCACTCTGCGCTCTCTCCAGATTGTGGCCGCTGCAATCTGATTCGGGCAGAGCGCGCCGCTGGGGAGCCTGGCTCTGCCTTTATCCTCATCCTCATTTTTCGTCCCTGCCCTGGCACTAGCAACAGTGTTTCCTCGGGGGAGGAAAAAGCAGAGACGGCGGCGGCGGCAGCGGCAGCATCCCCAACTAAATCGGGACTAGTTTAGTACCAGAGATGGTGCCTGCTTAGCCTGCAAGGAAAGAGAGGGGTGGATGGCAAGCAGGGCCCCTTCTCCACTGTAGGCGTCTCTTCTTTCCAACTTGGGGAGGCTGGGAACTAGCTACCTGGCTCAGTTTCCAAACCTCCGGGGAACTCTATGCAAGCGTTCTCTAGGGCCAGGTTTAACAATGGTGAAGGGAGCCGGCGTGACCCGGCGGCTGTAGAGGAAGTGGGCAGGGTCCGGGGTGGGGTTTCGGAGGTGGGAGACGCCCCCCGCCCCCCTACTGGAGGCTCTCCCGCTGGAGTTTGCCACACTTCTCGGTCCTCAAGCCCCCCGGTTCTCCTTTCCCCATCTGATTGCATACGGCAGCCCAGCCTGGGAGGAGATGGTGCCAGCACCTGGGTTAATCTAGTAGTCGGCTTCCAGCTCCCTCGCACCCTCCTCCTCGTCCTCTTCCTCTTTTACCTCCTGCTGGTGCTGCTGCTGGGAACCCCGGCGTGTGGGAGTATAAAACTCTCTGCCTCTCCGAGGACACTGGGTTTATGACCATTGAACAGAACTTGCCCGTTTTTTAACCCCCTTCCCCCCCGGAACGACTGGATAATGTCCACCCCGAGCAGATTCAAGAAGGACAAAGAGATCATAGCGGAGTATGAAAGTCAAGTCAAAGGTAAGCGGGGCGGGGGAGCGGCTACCTTTCCTTTTGTGTGCGTTCCTGTATTTCTTTGTCACCGTGCTCTCTGAGTTTAATTTCTAACTTGCGGGTCAGCATTGCAAAGAGGTTGGCAAAGGGATCTGGAGACGCTACACCCTAGGCTTTGTACAGGGCTGCTCTGAGTCCTGCTAGACCCAGAGAGAACTGGGAATGAGGATTGCTTTTGCCGGGCTGGCTTCCCACTTTAAATAGGAATAATAATGGGCTTAACTTCATTTCCCACAACCATATAACTTACATGGGAGGCAGGCATAGGGGTGTTACTGTGACTGCCCAGTTTATTTGTGTTTCTAAATGTTAACATTGTGGTGGGGGTGATTTTTTTTCCCTAGAGATTAAGGGTTAACTACCCCTTTAAAAAAAAAAAAGCTTGCCTAATGCATGGCAATTAGACTGAGGAGAGACTAATAGAAGCTGACTCCCTGATAAATGTTCCAGGATACAGTGCCATCTTTCACACTTATACAGTAATATTGTTTTAGCGTGTGCTGGAAGTACTTGCTTGTAAAATTAGAGTTCAGATATTTGAGTATTACCTTCAGATCCCTTATTATACATTACAGTTAATGTAGACAGCATAACCTCATTTGGGTTGATTAAGCAATTTTCCTTTCGATGGCTGCTTCACCTACCTAGTGAGGGATTTTTTTTTCTTCTAAACATTTTTTTATTTCAGTAAAAGTGTTTTGTTGTTGCTGTTGCTGTTGAAGTATTTAAATATGGATTTGTGTGTTTTCCTTCATTGCTATTGTAGTCTATTTGAGATACCTTTCCTGACCAAGACAATGGGTGGAGTCTAGAGAGAGCTGCTATTCTCTGGAATTTTGAGTACAAAGTTCTTAAAGCTCATTCTCTTTTACCTGCCCTTCCCATAGAATCTTCTTGAAACGGCCAGTTAGAAATTTAGTTTTTTACTTGTCTGGAGCAAAGGCAGAAGAAGCATGCATTTTCTTTTGTGCAGGCAAGTTGTGAAAATAAGGCTAGAATTCAATCAAGAGACCTTGGTGGAGGAAGTATGAATCTAAGGCAACTTGGGATGGTCATCAGAAATTGTGACTTATTAGATGTTTGAAGCTTCTCATCAGTGTATGCTAAATCAGTTCTGTGATGGTGTTAAACATATGTGATCTTAAATGTTTGCAAGGAAACAGATATTTGTCTAGTATGAAATTATGATCATTTACAGTATTAACATAATTTCAACTAAATTATTTCTTCATATTTCTCTATTAAAATAGAGGCCAAATAAACTTTCTTATAGGTAAATGAACTCCACTGGGATTTCTTTTTCATGTAGGGCTTACTCTTCTTTGCATCATTGTCATCACTATTTGTTCATTTTTTTCCCACTGGCTCCCTTCAAGGCATCTCCAAGCATAAAATAATCTGGTCTCCCTGCTGTAGTGTTAGTTACCAGAATGTACTTTTGAGTATTATTTTAGTTAATTTAACTTTAGGATCGTAGATCACTTGCCTACAATCAAGGCCTTGTTTGAAAAGACTCATATGGCACCTCTTATCCAGATGATTAAAACCATTGTTTCAAGGCCACTGGTTGGCTTCTTGGTGCCAAAAATATCAAAGCAAGACAAATGTATATCTTTCATATCATTAAAGCATAAGCAGCCTTGAACACATTCCTTTGTAGTACCTGTCATTATTATGAACCTATGTTTCATGGCCAGCTGCAGGCAGGATTGTGGAGTAGATGAAGTTGTCTTTAATAGACAAACCTTCTCTGCCAGTACTTGCAGGGTTACCATTTAGTTTGGCAAGGATGCCATCTCATCTTGGCCTGCTTCTCTTGTCGGGGGGGGGGGGGGGCCCTGTGTTCCAGATTTTTCCCTCTCCTGACAAAGTTTGCTAGTCTTATACCCTCAGTGCCTCAGGGTCTTACTTTCCATCAGGGAGATGACAAATGAAACTACATTAATATGAAGCCAGACTGGAAGGGTTAACATTCCATTTAAACTGCCTGCCCTGAGGTCAGTAATTATTTTTGTTACCGAATCTGATGGCGTTTTTTTCCCTTAATTTTTATCCTTCTTCTCTGTATCATTTGACATCGTTGACCACCCTTTCTCCTCCTAGGCAACCTTTCCTTCTTAGGTTTTCATAGTACTACTCTTTCCTGATTTTCCTTCTCAACTGTCTCATTGCTTCTCTTTCTACCTGCTATGTTAATTGGATCCCACGGTTCACTTCTCTTCCCTTTACCTGGCTCTCACAGTGATCCCATTGACTTCCCATGGGTTCACCTTTCAACTTTATATGCAGATGACTCTCAGATGGTTATATCTGGCCCTTTTCTTTCTCCTGAACTTCAGTCCTACATTACTAACTGCCTATTGAGCATCTCAGACTCAACATGTCTGAACAGAACTCATTATCTGAACCCCCTAGTTCCCATCTCTCTTCCAGAGTTCCCAGTTTCTGTTAAGAGTATCTTTGTCCCCGGAGCCATCCTTGACTTTTCCCTTCCCTCAGTTCTCACATCTAATGGATTGCTAAGTCTTGGCCCTTCTCCTTCCACAATAGTTTTCATTTCTCCACTCACACAGCCTCTACCCCAGTTCAGGCTCTCATCATCTCCTGGTTAAACTATTGTGATATCTTTCTAACTGCTCTCCCTACCTCCAATTTCTCTATTTTATTATTCAGTTGCCACACAATTGCCAAACCAATATTCCTAAATCATGGCTCTTATTATGCCATTCCCTTGCCCTGGAAGCTTCACTGGCTTTCTGTGGCTGTAGGAAAAAAAAAAAACAACTAACTTTTCTGTTTGGCTTTTAAAGCCCTTTACAACCTAATTCCAGCCCAACTTTCTCGGCTAATTGCATATTACTCTCCTCCACACACTTTACACCCCACACAAATTAGCCTACTGGCTGTTCCCATTATATAATATTCCATCCCCTATCTCTGTGTCTTTGTCTCAATGGTGACATGTGGGATACCTTTCCTCCTTACTTCCAGTCTTTAGAATTCCTGCTTTCCTTCAGACTTCAGCTCAAGTACCCCTTCTTCTAAGAAACATATCATGCACTCCCTAGTTGCTAGTACCCTCCCATGTAGAAATTACTTTGCCTGTGTTATGCATTTGATTTTTGCCCCCCACCTATGTAAGCTGATTGGGGGCAGGTAGTAATTATTTCATTTTTGTCTTTGTCTCCTTAGTGTCTGGGACACAGTAGGCACTTAATAAATGCTTATTGATTTGAATTAATTATTAACTAGCCTTTCTCCCCATATCTCTCCTGCCCTTAGTGTGCTATATCTAACATTTTCATCTTAACATAGACCTTAGGGAAACAGTATGTTTCCCCAAAGTAAAGAGATACCTGAATATAGGCCAGGAAGAAGCAATTTTGGCTGGAAAGATTGATGAGAAGCCAACCAGTTGATCATCCTCCTTGTTAACAATTCAGTTAAAAGTTGCTTGGAAGAAGAGGAATTGAAACTAATGGCTAACACAAGGTTTGAGTTTTATCTCTGGATCTCAGTAATCCATGTGATATTTGCAGTATCCCCAGCAGAACTTAGTCATATCACACATGGGAACTCAACAATGCAAGTGGCACATATGGGTAGAACCTTCGTGCCACTGACTTGATGGCAGAGAGGTAGTGTTTGTTGTGAATGGCTTCAACTAGCTAGTTGATAGTTGCTATGAACTGACAGTTATTTTTTTTTCCACTACTTTTCCAGAGGTAGCTCTATACTCATCTCTATGCATTATGCACAGGAACTGCCAAGAAAAATCTGTTGTTTTTGAACCACTCTGTGGTCTGGAATACAAATAGTACTTTTTAGGAGCAGATGGAACATGAAGACCTGCCAGTTCGTTTTGATATGGCCTGAGATCATGCCACAGGTTTCCATATAGAAATTAAAGCTACTGTGTCATTAACATGTTGTTGTCGTCGTCGCTTTTTTTTTCCCATCATGCACCGAAAAGGAACAAGTGAGACACATAAAAACCAGTGGAATGCTATTTTCCGAAGGTGGAGGTAGGCTGACAGTCATGGAATCATAGAGTACTAGAGTTAGAAACGTACTTGAAAGGTCATGCAGTCTAACATCCTTCTTTTATAGATGAAGAAACAGACCCAGAGGATTCTAATGACTTGCCCAAAGTCATACAGGTAAGAGGAAGAGCTTACATGTGAACCTGGGTCCTCTGACCCCAACTCCAGAACATGTTCCATTGTGTCTTGTTATGAACCTCTTGGCACTGTGTCCTATAAGAGTCTCTTCCTGTATCTGAACCTCAGCTTTGTCATCTGTAAAGTGGAGGTAATACTGAGGCCATTTCATATTTATCTTGCTTTCTGCTTACTAATTGCAAAAGTACAGAGATGAGAAATGAAGTATCGTGGATGAGAAATAGCTAGAAGGTCAGTTTATTATACTAGAAAGTTTGGGAATAGACTGCAAAGGTAGATTGTAGCCAGGTTGTGAAGGGCTTTAAAAACCAGAGCAATTTATATTTTATTCAGGGAGAAATAGGGAGCTACAAGACTTTATTGAGAAAGGGGAGTGACTTGGTCAGACCCGTGCTTAACAGAATATTGGCTTCTCTGTGTAGGTTGTATTGGGGTAAGGAGAGACCAGATGATTAGGGGAAAAGGAAAAGAGCCTGTATGTTCTAGAATATTTATAGCAGCTCTCTTTGGGTGGCAAAGAACTGGAAATTGCAGGGATGCCCATCAATTGAGGAATGGCTGAACAAATTGTGGTATATGGTTATGAAGGAGTACTACTATGCTATAAGAAATGATAAATTCAGTGATTTTAGAAAAACATGTAAAGACTTGCACAAAATAATGAAGAATAAAGTGAGGAGAACCATGAGAACATTGTATATAGTAACAACAACGTATACTTTTTTTTTTGGTCAGTTGGGGTTAGGTGACTTGCCCAGAGTCACACAGCTAGTAAATGTCAAGTGT